AGGGAGGAAACACCCAGATGGGGGAAAGAGGAGAGGCACAGTAGCTTGTGGAGATACAGGGGGAGGTAGAAACAAATATAAGCAAACTCATCCCCCAAAGGTTAACAAGAACCCATACCCCACTCACCACTATATTACCCAACAACTCCCTTACCCACCAAACACTGTTTGAGCAGGGAAAGGGGGACTCATACGCATCCAAACTCTGATACTACCATCACTGGAGTGGACAGTGCAAGACATCTTTGGACATCAGTGGACCCAGGGAAGAATTGTATCAGTTAAAAGGGGGGATATTTTTTTTTTTCCATTTTCTGTGGTGTCTTTTTTTTATACAACGGTGGAACATGACCTGCCCCTTGCCAGCACCCTCTTTTGGCACTGGGAGTGCCAAAGAGCCCAGTGGCAGTCAGATTCATGAAAAGGTACTTTTGGGTGGGGGTGGGGTTTCCCTGAAAGAACCCCCAAATGCTGAAGGGCTCACTATGCTATGGGGTTACCAGCCTGCACGCCTGTGGTGCTGGGCTAGTTCAGCTGGGGAAAGGGGGGGACAGATTTTATAAGTTCATTTTTTTATAATTAAAAAACATGAATAATGAACCATGTAAGTGCTAAATCTGTATTAAAGACAATCTCCATAAGCTGAAAACAAAAAAAAGCTCCAAAAAAAAAAAAAGAAGCTTATAAATGTTTTTTTTCACATCTTAAACCAGGGAATCGTTTGAATATTGAGCAGGGAGAACAGTGGGTGAATGTTGGGCTAACTTCAGAGTGAATTTGCATTCACTAAATAATAAATAGGATGAATTGTACAGTAAAGCACTTTCCCATTGAAGAACAGATGTTGGGTGAATCCTGTCTGATAAAATATTCACATGGGTAAATGTTGTTTGATGCATGTTTTGACAGGTGAATATTGTTTGAAAATGGGCAAAAACCACTATGATAAATAGAGGGAATGTAGGAAATTGAATCCTGGTTGAAAAATGAGCGAATGCTAGGCAAATTTCATGTTCATTAAAGGAGAATTATGAGGCAAGTGATTTTCACTCAGCCTCATCATCTGAGCCAACCTGTGACAATGAAACTGTCACAGGTCGGCTCAGTAGATCGGGAAGTGAGCGAACACATACCGGCGCTCGCTCACTTCTCGATCTATCCGTGCAGAGAGCTGTGACTGTCACTCACGGCTCCCTGCAAGGATTCCCCCCCCCTCCGATCCCCCAGCGCTGACTGGCGGAATGGACGGGGGAGGGGGCCTTCTCGATCTATCCGTGCAGAGAGCTGTGACTGTCACTCACGGCTCCCTGCAAGGATCCCCCCCCCTCCGATCCCCCAGCGCTGACTGGCGGAATGGACGGGGGAGGGGGCGGGTACAGCTGGCTCTGCCTCTAGATAGGCAGAGCCAGCTGTCACTCACGCAGCTGGGTGGATCCAGACAGAATTGTCGGGATTTGTTCTGGCTGCGGCGTCTCATTATACTGCGAGCTACAGAAAAGGAAAACCATAAAAAAGGAATGCAAACTAACATCAACAAAGGGTTTCAGTTGTGTCATTTAGTTCATCTGGGATTTAGGTTCCAAGTCTGTGGATCCAAAAAGCATCTAGGATAGAGAACCACTGGGATCCATTACAGTCCTTAGACAAAGGAACTTGTTTATTGGGGTTATAGTTGAACCAGGAAAATCTTTTATTGTGAATTGTGTAAAGGCCTGTGCCGACAGACTTTTGTTCAAGTCAGAACTGTTTCTCCCCCTATACAAGTTTATAAGAATGCATAGATTTGTATAGACTGTGTCAATTAGCTTTGGGCCCTTCAAATGTTGGGAAACACAACCTTGTGACATTCTATGTATGTTGTGTCTATATTTATTTATTACAGGTATTTATATGGAGCTGACAATTTAGGCAGCACTCTACATACTGCACATTCACATCAGTCCCTGCCCTCAAGGAGCTTACAATCTAAAGTCCATATTGCACATACATACAGGGCCAATTTAGACAGGACCCAATTACCTTCCAGCATGTCTTTGGTGTGTGGGAGGAAATCGGAGTGCCCAGAGGAAGCCCACACAAACACAGGGAGAACATGTAAACTCCTTGTAGATAGTGTCCTGACTGGGATTCGAACCGGAGACCCCCAGTTCTGCAAAGCAGAAGTGCTAACCACTAAGTCTCAGGCTTTGAACTATCGGTCCCACATACTGGGGACAGCATTAATATTTAATAACATATCCCTCAAAATCTAAGATTTTGCATTTATTAAAAAAAATGCAGAGCTGCCCAGATAGCAAGCAATTGAGCTGCAAGTTTGAAAATTACTTGCTAAACTATGGCAGACTTGCCAAGCTTCACAATTTTGTTGCACAATTACAGCAAGTCTGCATTGCAAGTCTCCAGATCAACGTGATTTGCAAAAGTGCTGTGCACTTGCAGAGCTCTTGCTAAGACGTGCAGGACTCTTGCTACAGACTTGCCAAGCAAATTTGCTACAAATTCAAAAAGTGTCAACTAGAACTTGTGCTGCGAGTGTTCTGCAAGTTTACAACTTGCCAGGGAATATGTGCAGCAAGTTAGAAAGAATTACAATTTAACCCTCCCACAAATTTGTGGCAAGTTATCTGTCCGTGGCTGTCTGTAAATAATCATATATAGAAGATTATCTACGGATCAGGAGAGATGCTTGTCCCTGGACGCAGACAGATGCTCATGTAAAGTTACTCATGTATCTGCTTTGTATCTTCGGAAAAGAGATGACAGACTAGATTGCCCACTAGTGGTGTTCAGTAAATCATGCAACAGGACAGTGATCTATCAGTCTGTCCGTGAATATTCCCTGTGTATCAGAGCTCTGAGTAAAGGTAGTCATCTGGAAGCCCCATATATTTATCATTTGTATGGAGAACCTAGGATTCCACGAATCTGAATGGCATTCGGGAGCTCCCGAATGCCATTTGGGTCAGGGAGCCTCAGTTTTAGTAATATATGTATATGGCTCCCAGACCCGATTGGCATTCAGGAGCTCCCGAATGCAATTCGGAAATTCAGATCTCAAATGCCATTTGGGTCCGGGAGCCATATACATATATTACTAAAGCTGAATCTCCTAGACCCAAATTGCATTCGGGATCCGTATTTCTGAATTGCATTCGGGGGCTCCTGAATGCCATTCGGGTCTGGGATCCATATACATATATTACTATAGCTGAGGCTCCCAGACCTGAATGGCATTCGGGAGCTCCGAATGCATTTTTGAAATTCAGATCCCGAATGCCATTTGGGTCTAGGAGATTCAGCTTTAGTATTAATATCTTTATATGGTTTTCTGTGGTATTCGCAACAAATATTCGTAAACTCATCCAAAACTAATGAAAATTTGCATTTCGTCCAAATCTGAAACCCGAACCAAATTGAATTTCGGATCCAAATTCCGAAATATCCGAACCGAACCAAATTTTTGCGCAGCCTACATGTCTACTTAGAGATACTCCTTAGGAGAACTTTGTCAGCAGTCTGTTTCAGGTGCCAGAAAGCATTTCCTACACAGTGGCAGCATTCGGACTATCCTGCATTGGACTGTGATGACTATTAATGCTGACAGGTCATATAATGGGAGGAAGCAGTTGTGTATGTATTTTTATACTGGTTGGTGAAACAGAGGCAGCATGAGGGAACCAAGATGTGTGAGAAAAATTTGTGTACACAAATCCTACTAATTTTCCATCACTGTGTCAACTCAGATGAACAAAGTTCACACTAACCCCAACCTTATCTCTAATGAAATCAAGTGGTTGATGGCATGAAAACTCAATGCCTGGAATTCATACAGACTGTCGTAGACCCTAATTCGAAATCTGCCTCCAAATGGCGCAATTTTTAACAGATTCATGCAACATGTCACGTGTATTGAATATGCTGCAGAATTGAGCAACACAATTTGCTCCATCCATGAAGATTGTCTTATTTATCTCCACTTTTCTTATTACTGGTATGGCAGCATTAATGAATTTGTTGCAGCCGTGGCACCAGCATGCAAAAGTGTCCTAATTTGTTGCATGCGTCAGAAATAGCAAGAGGACTATTGCACGGCTTTTATGAACTTGCTGCCAGACTTATGAAAACTGCCAGACTTTCTAATACAGTCACAGCATCAGAAAAGTGTCCCAAATGATTGATTGAATCCCCCCAATGTGTGCGTCGAGGATGCCAGCTGGGTACTGCCAGATTGTCCTGGGGCAGCGAAAGATGCCAGGGCAGTGTACTGCCAGCTTGTCCAGTGGGAGCAGAGGATGCCAGAACAAGGCACTGCCAGACTGTTCAGTGGCAGCAGAGGATGTCAGGTCAGGGTGCAGCCAGATTGTCCAGTGGCAGCAGAGGATGCCAGGTCAGGGTACTGCTAGATTATCCAGTTACAGCAGAGGATGCCAGGGCAGGGTACTGCTAGATTATCCAGTTGCAGTGGAGGACGCCAGGGCAGGGTACTGCTAGATTATCCAGTTGCAGTGGAGGATGCCAGGGCAGGGAACTGCTAGATTATCCAGTTGCAGTGGAGGATGCCAGGGCAGGGAACTGCTAGATTATCCAGTTGCAGTGGAGGATGCCAGGGCAGGGTACTGCTAGATTATCCAGTTGCAGTGGAGGATGCCCGGGCAGGGTACTGCTAGATTATACAGTTGCAGTGGAGGATACCAGGGCTGGGTGCAGCCAGATTGTCTAGTTGCAGTGGAGGATGCCCGGGCAGGGTACTGCTAGATTATCCAATTGCAGTGGAGGATGCCAGGTCAGGGTACTGCTAGATTATCCAGTTGCAGTGGAGGATGCCAGGGCAGGGTACTGCCGGAGGTGTCATGTAACGGTCACCTCAGGTCTGTAGTACTGCTGGGTGGTAATGCTGGAGGAAGATGAAGAGTAGGAGGAGATGGTGAAGAGTTCAGCCTCCATTTAGGAGTTCTTAGCCTGCCCTCCTTTCTCCTCTCCTGTGTTGATTTGGAGGATGTGCTGGCTTTGGAAGGAGGGGCATAGACTGGGATAGAGACTTTCAAGTAACGTATTCATATGTAGTAACTGTATGCATCGTCTCCTGCCATGTCTCCCAGGATGGTGATGATGACCTCTTCTCAGAGCTGCCTGATGTCTGCTGCACTATGAGGAGGAAAGAGGTAAGGAACTTGTGTTACTTTGTATACTTGTCTGTGAGCAGTACGATGTGGCTTCCTCTCCATGCATGCCTGTATCTCCATGACTGCCCTGCCAGGCTGTTGGGAATAATTAGTGAGAAGGAGGAGAGCTGTGGAAACCGGATCCCAGGTGTTCACATGATAATGTAGCTGTCTGATAGCTGATCTCTGTGCCGTACACAACAATGAAAGCTTCTCTTTTCTGTGATCCAGGGGGTCACTTGTTGCAGAATATAACCTGACCGATGAAGTATTACTTTATAAAGTGTTTCATGACACGTTATATCACACTTCTCCAGGGGATAGGAAACTTACAGCGTATGTCATTGTTTCCATTGGGAGAGCAGTGCTTTCATGTCTGTGCAATGTACGGACTATGCTATGCTGTTATGTACGGGTGAATGAGGGGCATAAAGATTCCCCTTACTGTACAAGATGAGCTGTGGTGTCTTATGGAGGTGAATGAGGGGCATACAGATTCTCCTTGCAGTATAACATGAGCTGTGGTGTCCTATGGCGGGTGAATGAGGGGCATAAAGATTCTCCATACAGTATAACATGAGCTGTGGTGTCCTATGGGGGTGAGTGAGGGTCATAAGGATTCTCCTTACTGTACAAGATGAGCAGTGGTGTCCTATGAAAGTTACTGAGGGGTATAAAAATTCTCCTTACACTATAAGATGAGCTGTGGTGTACTATGGAGGCAAATGAGGGGCATAAAGATTCTCCTTACACTATAAGATGAGCTGTGGTGTCCTATGGAGGTGAATGAGGGGCATAAAGATTCTCCTTACAGTATAACATGAGTTGTGGTGTCCTATGGAGATGAATGAGGGCCATAAAGATTCTCCTTACACTATAAGATGAGCTGTGGTGTCCTATGGAGGTGAATGAGGGGCATAAAGATTCTCCTTACACTATAAGATGAGCTGTGGTGTCCTATGGAGGCGAATGAGGGGCATAAAGATTCTCCTTACAGTACAAGTTGAGCTGTGGTGTCCTATGTAGGTGAAGGAGGGGCATAAAGATTCTTCTTATAGTACAAGATGAGCTGTGGTGTCCTATGTAGGTGAAGGAGGGGCATAAAGATTCTTCTTATAGTACGAGATGGGCTGTGGTGTACTATGGGGGTGAATGAGTGGCATAAAGATTCTCCATATAGTACAAGATGAGCTGTGGTGTCCTATGGAGGTGAATGAGTGGCATAAAGATTCTCCTTACACTATAAGATGAGCTGTGGTGTCCTATGGAGGCGAATGAGGGGCATAAAGATTCTCCTTACAGTACAAGTTGAGCTGTGGTGTCCTATGTAGGTGAATGAGGGGCATAAAGATTCTTCTTATAGTACAAGATGAGCTGTGGTGTCCTATGTAGGTGAAGGAGGGGCATAAAGATTCTCCTTACAGTACAAGTTGAGCTGTGGTGTCCTATGGAGGTGAATGAGGGGCATACAGATTCTCCTTACAGTACAAGTTGAGCTGTGGTGTCCTATGGAGGTGAATGAGGGGCATACAGATTCTCCTTACAGTACAAGTTGAGCTGTGGTGTCCTATGGAGGTGAATGAGGGGCATACAGATTCTCCTTACAGTACAAGTTGAGCTGTGGTGTCCTATGTAGGTGAAGGAGGGGCATAAAGATTCTCCTTATAGTACAAGATGAGCTGTGGTGTACTATGCGGGTAAATGAGGGGCCTACAGGTTCTCCTCACAGTATAACATGAGCTGTGGTGTCAGATGGGGGTGAATGAGGGGCATACAGATTCTCCTTACAGTGTAACATGAACTATGGTGTTATGTTTAGATTGTAAAGCGCTGAGCAATCTGCTGGCAGCTATATACATCCTGTATAATAATGGTGTTCTATGAGGTGAATGAGGGGCAGCTAGATTCTCCTCATAGTAATAACATGGACTATGGGGTCCTATGAAGTTGAGTAAGGGAGGCCAGATTCTTCTCAGGCACTGTCACAAAGGCTTTGTTGCCCTATGGAGGTGAATAAGGGGCACACAGATTCCGTTGTGTCGATCGTTGAAATTCAGTCAGTTAGTATTTGTAACGAACGATGATTTGAAATCGACCTTGGTCTGTGCATGATGGGGTATCAGAGCAGAAATCGAAACGACGGTTCAATGGGGGCACGAAAGGAATCGAACGATAATTGCAAGGTGTATGGCCACCCTAATGTGTGATGGGTTACAGTTATCACTAGAATAAGAAGTGAGGGATAATCTTCCAGCGGGGACACTTATTCTGGTGACAGCTGTCCTAGCGGGAATCTTCCCTCACATCATTTGATAGGGGATTTAGCCCTTCCTTACTCTATACAAAAAGTACAAATATATTTTTGGCTATACATTCACTTTAAAGCCTATTTTGCAGGCGTGATGTACATTCAGATAAGGTTACACATATAGGGAGACTTTTATCCCAGAATACACAGATTAGAAGCTGGGCAACGTCTGCTCTTTGCATGCAGTTTTCTGAGGTATATGTATTGTTTTTTGTATTTTATATTTTTAAATGCAGTTGTGAATCTTTTACTGTTTTGGTTGGTAAATATTAGCAAAAGTGTATCCGTGTTGAAAGTACCAGGTCCCAAATGGTACAGTTTGTATTACTCAGCCTCTTCTATTGCTTTTAAAACAAATTGTGATTTTTCTGAAGCAGCACAGTGTTTAACACACCGCATTCCTTCCATTGTATTCATCCCTACTCTTCCTGGGATATCTGGATGGTTTTTACTTTCTTTTTCTCAATACATTTGGCATGGAACCACAAATCCTTTTGTGTTTATTTCACCCAGACAGATGAGTTGCTATTTACAGCACAAAGACATAGGGGGTTGGTTTTAAGCAACTCGCTTTTAGTTCCTGTGCATTTTGCTGCATTCTTCTCTGTTTTATAAGGCTGAATCTAAATGTAGAAATGAGCATATTGATTAACAAATTGGCTGAATTGGCAGATATCATGATTGTTTGTATAGGGTGATAGTCTACAGATTATTAGGACCCACGTGCAAATATTTTGGAACATAATAAATGAGCAAATATCGGATTCAACTGATTTGATTACCATTATTCCCAAATACATGAATGTATTATTTGCAGCATGGTGGGAACACCTCCCAAGAACATGGGCACTGTTGTTATTGTGAGGGCAGAGTCTGTTAAACATCTTTAAAGAAAAATGGGGGCTGCCATTGTGGCCATTCTTCTGAAAATGCCTGGCTCTTATGCTGAATCTTTAGATTTAATGCTGTTTAATCATTGACCCAAACCACATATGCAGGTCAGGAGATTGAGAAGTGGCAGAATTCATTATCGGAATGCTTGTTTTAGGTCACTGACTCAAAGCTAGAGGGTCAGCTTGACAGACAAGTACTGTAGCTAACATTTTCCAATGTGCTCAGCAGTGGCACCCTTCCAGTTTCTCTCTTGACCAGCTTTTAGGAAGAAGGTTAGTTAGTTGCCACTTCTGATCCCATATAGTGTCCTGGGACCCTGTAAAGACTGGGGCTTTGTAAGACAATTAATGACCAAAGCTTCCTGCTCGTAGACACTGGTGCTCACACTTATACCACTTGTGCTGTACTGTTGGCCCATAACTGATCGTACTAAGGTATTAAAGCTAGAAGTGGTTGGACCAGTGACCAGAAGACTTAGGCAGTCATTGTATTATAGAGTGCCTGGGCATTTGAGGGACCAAGGATGCTCTACATGAGAGCATAGCCAGCATGCAAGCACCTATTTTATAGAAAGTGCCATTTTAGAAATTGTTTCCCCTACAGTCTTAGTTTAAAGCAGAAGTTTAATTTGCTTACATTTTGATTACCACGATTTCCCCCTCCATCAACATGATTTTAAAAAATTTGAAATAAAACCGTTGTGTTTTCATGAAATGCCTTATTTTAGATCCAGTGACATCGTCTTTGCAATACAGGCAGATTATGCCTGGTGGGAGTGACTGTACACCACAGCATCCTGCATCAGTACTCCTCTCGGGTCCTTAGCCCTAATGCAAGCAGTGGGCTGGCCCTTTGGAGGAGGTATGCAAATATCAAAATTCCTTGATTGGTGAGTCAGTAAGTATGGAGGAGTGGTCATTACAGGGAAAGCTGCATTTCCATGCAGGTGGCAGCCACATGGAATGCTAAGGTTCCATAAGTGAAAGGACTTAAATCCAATGAATGAAAGGGACAGCAAGGCTATGGAGGAAAGAGCTAGATGATGCTGAAAAGTGTGGAATGAAATCGGTGTAATCCATTTCACTACTGGAGTGGGCCTGTTGTAGTCCAGCGTTAGGGTTTTGTTAAAGTGATATTAAAGTGAAAAGGTTTTTAAGCTTTTTCAAATACTGATTAAATCCCTTTCAATGGATGCTGCTTCTTGATGTTTTCGTCTCTTGCATAATCAGCTGCTCCCCTAAACACTGGCCTTGATATCCTGTTATAGGGGGCCTTCTTTCCCTTGCAAGGTTGCTATGGAGCCACCTTGTGTGTGTCTCCACCAACACACAGGTATGGCAAGGCAAGCCCACTCCCCTGTTCCCGGCTTCTCCGTCCTCCCTCATCAGGCTAGTAGATGGACATCTGCTGCAGTCTGCTCTGTTCCTTGTGATCTTGTACTGGTACTTGTAAATGTAAAGAAATACTTTCCTGGGCCATGTATATTTGCTAAATCTGGATTCATTATTGAAAAGTTTGAGAGCTGCGTTCCAGCACCATTCGCTGCTGGAACGCACTGGAGCACATCCCGGTGGGCTTCCTACGTTCAGGGGCGGGAGGGAGCGTGGTGTTGAATTGAAGTCAATGGCATCGCAGCCACATCCCCCGCCTGTAGTGCAATCGCTCACACCAGAACGCGTGGCAAAACAATGCTTGCGTTCCGGTCCAGTGCGATCTGAAAAAACAGTGCTTGTGGCACTTTTTCAGATCGCACTGGACCGGAACACAGGCATTGTTTTGCTACGCGTTCCGGTGCGAG